TACATTTAATCCTTAAAAGGTTATTAGAGCCCTAGCCAGTATTTCTCAGTGGTTAGAGCATTGGCCCATGGACCAAACTGTCATGGGTTTGATTCCCGGTCAAGGGCCTGTATCTGGGTTGCAGGTTTGACTGCCAGCCCCATTCGGAGCCTGTGAGGGAGGCAACCAATCCATGTGTCTCTCTCTTCTCTCTCTCTTCCCCTCTCCCTCTACTCCCTCCCTTCCACTCTCTCCAAAAATCAATGGAAAAAAGGGTTAGGATTAGCAACAACAGCAACAAAAGGTTATGAGGTATCAGTATTATCAATATCTCAGTTTTCTAATGAAAAAATTGAGGCATAGCAAGGTTAAGCCTACACTCTTAATCATTATGCTATGCTGAATCACTGAAATAAAATGAACTGTCAGATATAACCTCATATTTATTACATTTACGAAAGGAAAATGATCAAATATAATGTGTCACTGAGAAGAAACATATAATTTTTATCGTGTTATAAATTGTAATCATTTTGAAGTACATTTTTCTTGCAGGAGCAACCAAAATGTATTATAACGTTTAATAAGATTTATTTCAAGGAAATAATTCAGAAGGGAAAAAAGTTCAAGGGTGTTAATTTGCTGTTTGTAATAATGTTAAAGGATAAATAACTGGCATACCCACAATTGGAATGAAGGAAATGAACATTAAATGAATTCTTGCACCATTGCTGGCATTTTTCTAGCCATTCATTTGGTTTTTTTCAAATGTTATATCCCACAATAACCTTATAGAGTAGACGGTATTGTCATTTTTACAGAAGAGCAAACTGAGGGTCAGGCAAATGTAAGGAATCTAGATCTTTCTTGAACCCCCAAAATCAGGCCCTTAACAATATCATGAGGATAGTACAACGTTATACGTCATTAACAATTGTAAGTATGTAGGCATGGGAATCAATGTGAAAACACTTTTTTATTTTATTTTATTTTATTGATTTCTTACAGAGAGGAAGGGAGAGGGATAGGGAGTTAGAAACATCGATGAGAGAGAAACATCGATCAGTTGCCTCCTGCACACTCCCTACTGGGTATGTGCCCGCAACCAAAGTACATGCCCTTGACTGGAATCGAACCTGGGACCCTTGAGTCCGCAGGCCGATGCTTTATCCATTGAGCCAAACCGGTCAGGGCATGAAAACACTTTTTAATCATCACCCTAGAACAGGCTGAGAGAGAGAGAGAGAGAGAGAGAGAGAGAGAGAGAGGAGAGAGAAACATCAATCCACTGCCACCTGCACTTGCCCTGACCAGGAATCGAACCTGCAACCTAGATATGTGCCCTGACTGTGAATTGAACATACATCCTTCTGGTGCACGGGAAAACAATCCAACCAATTGAGCCACCAACCAGGGCAATGTGAAAAACATTTTAATTTATAAAACCTTCAGCATGTACACATTTGATCTATGTAAAGATGATCATTAAAATCAAGAATTTTATCTGATAGAATTGTTTTAGGGACTTTATTCTTTTTAAATCAAAATATACTCTGTAAAACAGTGGTCGCCAACTGGTGGTCTGAGTGGTCCATGAGGTTGGCTACCACTGCTTTAAAATGTGCATCGGGGCTAGTTCTACTGTCCTGTCCTACTCAACACTTAGCCCTAAATTTATGCAGATTCATGTATTTACAAATTATGTACTTATGCTTCAGGTCTAGAGAAATGTAGGGAATTACATTATTCTCGAATAATGTTTGATCTGATAAGATGGCAGTGTAATGTAGTAGCTAAGAACTTCAACTCTGGAGTCAGCCAGCTTAGGTTTGAATCCCAGCCCTATCACTAGCTATGTGACATTGGGCAGATCCCTTTTCTGTTTCTCCACCACAGTTTTTATTTTTGTAAGATTAAATGAAAATGTGAAGGTTTAGCAGAGTCTGGCATATAATAATCTCCCATTATGCTGGCTGCTATTCTTGTAAACATCATCATCATTATCAATTTCTAAGAGTTGATTTTCATTGAGATCAGAATTGAAGTCTATTAGATTGCACTAGGTTTCTATGGTTGCTTCATAAGCCACCAAACACTTAATTGCTTAAAACAACAACCATAATAATGCTAGCTCACAGTTCTTTGGTTTGGTAACTTGGACTTAGCTCAGCTGGGTGCTTGGGCTGGGCTGAGCTCCCCTATTCTTGGTTGGGCTTGCTAACATATCTGGGGCCTCCTTCTGCTTGGTCTCTCATTCTCAAGTGGGCTAGCCTGGGGCTATTACATGTGTCAGTAGACTGCCCAGCTGGAGACTGGAAGAGGCTTGACCTCTTGAAGTCCAGACTCAGGTTTCTAACACCCAAGTGTCATTTCGGCTGCATTCTACTGGTCACAAGGTTAGCCCAAATTTAAAAGATGGGAAGTAGTGTTAAGTTCACTTTTTGTTGGGAGTTGCTAGAGGGATTCTGATTTTTTAATCTGCCATATAGACTAACGGGAAACTGTTTCATGCTGACTGAGATCAACAGATTGACTATTGATAAGGAATAAAAAAGATTATAGTTAAATGTCAGCATTTTTAAGACTCAATAATATAGCGTATTCATAAAAATAAATTAGGTTTTATACAATTGAGAACTAAAACTTAAAAAATACTATCAGAAATTAAATTTGTCTTATTTTTAGGAAATTTTCCCTTTTAGGGAAATTATAATAAGAATATATGTAATTATTTTTTCAATTCTCCCTAAAAGGTAAAACTACTTAAAAAGTAACCAAATATGCCCAGCTGGTGTGGCTCAGTGTTTCAGGTTGACCTATAAAGCAGAAGGTCATGGTTCGATTCACGGTCAGTGCACATGCTTGGGTTGTAAGCTTGATCCCCGGTGGGGCGCATGCAGGAGGCAGCTAATCAATGACACACTCATCATTGATGTTTCTATCTCTCCCTCTCCTTCCCTCTCTGAAATCAATTAAAAGTTTATATTTAAAAAATAACCAAATACTATTTTTCTACCTTCCCCAAATTAACAAAGGACAGTTTTTTAAGTTTGCAAACTTGCTATATCATATAGCATTCAGCCTATTTAATCTCAGATGGTATATTAATAAGAAGTGAAATAATTTGTGTCAAATACAGTAGGTTAAGCACTATGATAAAAACTTTCATTCCTGTGAAGAATTGAATTCAGGATTCATCTATACTCTTCTGCCTGAGTTGTTTCTAAATAAAGGTAGGTTGTTAAATAAGGCAAGTCTAGACAGAATCTAGCAACTTTGCTTAACCTAAATATACATTTATTTGCAATGTTTTATTTTATTAAACTACAAAAATTAAATGCAATAATTTTAGGGTTTCTTGAACTAAATTCTATCAAAAGTAAAAATGCAGTGATCCATAGGCACAGATCTTAATTTCTAAAAATTCTTTTACATATATTTTAATTTCACACAGGTTACTCTCAGCTTTTCATTCTTAATAATTAGGGTCCTTAATTATTTCTTTAGTTTATGTGAGCTGAAACAGCAGAGAAGAAATACAACAGTAGGCCAAAAGACAGTGAATCTTAATAAAGTGATTCTGCCATATTTTCAAGGGCACTTTTGAGTCTTTTTTTTTTTTAATATATTTTTATTGATTTCAGAGAGGAAGGGAGTGGTATAGAGAGATAGAAACATCAATGATAAGAGAGAATCATTGATCAGCTGCCTCCTGCACACCCCACACTGGAGATTGAGCCCGCAACCCAGGCATGTGCCCTTGGCCAGAATCGAACCTGGGAGGGACCCTTCAGTCTGCAGGCTCTACCCACTGAGCCAAACCAGCTAGGACCATTTTTGAGTCTAAATAGAAGTCTCAGTAGAAAATTTAACTCACTAGTACTTGCATGACGTGAACAGTTTTTTATTCTTTTGCATAGTATGTTGGGATGAGAGTTTTAGAAAACTAGGATATTGTGTGTTTTTTTAAATATGTTCTTATTGATTTTTAGAGAGAGAGGAAGGGAGAAGGATAGAGAGAAACATCGATGAGAGAAACATCGACCAGCTGCCTCCTGCATGCTCGCTACTGGTGATTGAGCCTGTAATCCAGGCATGTGCCCTGACCAGGAATTGAACTGGTGACTTCTTGGTTCCTGGATCGATGCTCAACTGCTGAGCTACACCAGCCAGGCAACTAGGATATTCTTGTGCTGTTAAAAGCACAATGTAAAATCATTGTAAGAATAGTATCTTGGGTTGTTTGGTGTATTGAAGTATAATTATATGAGTATCTTAATAGTTCATTTGTATTGATTCTGGTTAAATTTATACTTCTTAATCCTGGCTTTACAAGCTTCCCAATCATCTATGGAACATCTATAAGAAAGTTCCAGGCTTCTGATCTGGCAGGTGCCATCATAACATTGGCCATGATGAAATCTTGCTGTTCATAATGGCAGATGTATAACAAAAAGTAACACACTAGCTCAAATCCAATCTTCTGAAGTTGATTTTTAATGCTAATGTTTTATCTTTATTAGGAGACAGAAATCCTAGTTTAAATCTCATTCAGCAAGTTTGTATAAAGCGATATCTTGAAATAGGTAAACATTTAGAAAGCAGCAACAACAAAAAGTATAATCTTAGAAGCTGTTGTAAAAGAAATACTAATACTGTTTAAATTTATGGAAGTGATTGTTATAATCAAATATGAAAAATAAACACTAATTGTGTTATTTACTATTAAACATCATTTGTTTTCTTGATATAACATAGAAATGGGGTTTATTTCAATGTTAAAATATGAAAATTTTGAATAAAATTTACTATATCATAATGTAGTTCCTTTTCTCTTTTCCCACTTGAGTCCTAACAAATTAGTTAGGCATGGAATATCTAAATTTAGCCTGTAATCTCTGGTCATTTAAATTGTTTCACTCTTGAATTTGTTAAAATTATGATATTCCCTTTGTACCTTCTGTTTCTGGTTACCAGCTGGACTATTAATATGGAAGTGGATTTTGCATATTGTTTTTCAGCTGACTACCTGGCTCAGGCATTTGATTCTCTTTGTTTGGACTTGAAGACAGATGAAGGAAAAATCTTATTTTTGGAGTATCAAGCTGTTCCAGTAATATTAAATCACCTAAGAATATCCAGTAAAGGGCTCTTATCCAATGTCATTGATAGTTTGCTTCAGATGACAGTGGAATCCAGTAAGTTTTAAAGTTTTATATACATTAAAGAAATTATGGTGGGATGATTTTTCTCATTTGTTCTGAATATATAATTCTATATATCAGATACCATTGTATTTCATAATAGAAATGCTTTAAAATATTTTAATAGTTGTATAATAGAGTCATTAATAGCATCACTAAGTTATAAAACCTAACCCTTTGTCCAGATTTTCACTAACTTATTATAATTTCCAGTAGTCATCTCAGTTATGTGGATATACTTTGCAAATGTTACTCATATACGCAAGCTTCTTTCTTGTTTCCCTTTTGTCTCATCATTCTGACAGATCTATTCTTATATTTCCTGTTTTCTCAGAGTGAGATAACCAAATGTTTCTTCACTTAAAGTGAGCATAGTGACAGCCATTGTCCTGTTGTTGCCTCTTCACCCTTACTGTTTTTTGTTGGAGGCTGCTCTTTTATATTCATATTTGTAATATTTTGTAGTCTGTGGGGAGGCCCGGTGCACAAAATTTGTGCACTGGAAGGGGAGTCCCTCAGCCCAGCCTGCACCCTCTCGCAGTCTGGGACCCCTTGGGGGATGTCCACCTGCTGGCTTAGGCCCAATCTCACCAGGTGGACATCCTTCTCACAATCGGGGCTCTCACAGTCTGGGACCCCTTGCTTCTTACCACCCGCCTGCAGCAGAAGCAGGAGAGGCTCCCTCCACTGCTGTTGTGCTTACCAGCTGTGAGCCTGGCTTCTGGCTGAGTGGCGCTCCCCCTGTGGTAGCGCACTGACCACCAGGGGGCAGCTCCTTCATTGAACGTCTGCCCCCTGGTGGTCAGTGCACGTCATAGTGACCAGTCGTTCTGCCATTTGATCGATTTGCATATTAGGGTTTTATTATATTGATACAACTAGTTCTTTTGTTACTGGTGGTTCCTAATTTAGCACAGATATGTATAGGGATGTTTACCATAAATATTAGCTTTGGTTGCCTTAGCTCTTTCAATCTAGAGTAACCCCTTGACTTGTAACAAGCAGTCATTTTGCTTCAATAAATTCTTTTTCACTGTAGTTTGTCCTTTTACCTATTCCTCTTCCCTCTAGTACTGCTAAAATTAAAATGTTAATGCCTTCCAGAAAGTGGAAAGTAAAACTGGAAAGCCATTGCTCAGTGTGGTAGTAAGCAATCTATCTTACTTGATGCTCCATGCTGGTGAATCCCTAATGGCTGGGTGCAAAGTGTGGTTATACTTCTAACTAGGTACAGTTGGTGTATGGTTTCACATTTTCAATTCCCTGTTATATACAATTTTATTTCCTTTTACAACATCCCTCTGAAGGATGCCTAATAGGAAAACTGAGGCCTGGAAAAATTAGGTAACTTGTCCGTGAATTCCACAGCTGTAGAGAGGTAGAACTCAGACTTGAAACCAGGTCTCTGATTCTGGATGTAAAGGGCATTTTATCATATATCTCCATGAAAAGGTTTTCCAGGTTTGTTTGTTTTCTCTAGCCCCAAAATGTCATATTTTCACTGATCTATTTTGCTAATATTTTTAGCCATTTGTTACCATTAAGATAATTGATTATAGTTGGGGAACTAGCTACCTAGGTAAGTAATTTAATGTATTAATTTAAAGTATAGAGCAGAAAGTGAAAAATTAGTAAACTGAGAGACAGAGATCCAAGATTACTTGTTTAGGTGTGTAGATTTCCAACTAGTTTCACAAAATTTTTTGTTTAATGAGAAAAACAAAAATCCCACCAGATGCAAATATCTATTCATCGAAAACAAATCTGTCTGAATATGTCTGATGCAGGTGAAATCTTGTAGCCAAAGAAAAACAAAGTAAAATTTTAAGAAACAGTGGGCCTGCTTGGGTGAAATGACTTTGTGGCACCATAATGTTCATATTTGGAGAAATAATTTTACCATAGATTAGTCAACAGATGCTCAGTTCATTTACATTTCTTTACCCTCATTCATGTTCAAATCCAAAGTTATCATTTCTTGCTCAGTTTGAGTAAATGAAGCAAATACTAGTGTTGATTGCTAGAAAGCCATGTTGTTTTTAGTGATGGGAAACTTTTGGAAGTTCCATAATGGGAAGACCTTTGATATTTATATAAATTTTCTTGATATATTTTCTATTTTTAATAATCTAGTACCTGGTATTAGTGAGCCAACAAAATTTGTTAAAGGGATAAGTGAATGATAGATTAATGCAGCAAATACTTCTCTATCTATTGGTTTTATATTTTTTCTTTCTAGATTTGAGATGGGAAACTCATTTCACTACATACATAATTTCCACATGCTATTTTTTTTAATTCATATGGAAAAGTTGTTGGAAAAGAAATCTTGGTAGAATTGATTTGAGATGCTTATCTCACCCATCTAATGTGCATTAGTAGCCAGCTGTGTGTGTGTAGCACTGTGTTTCAAGCACTGTGTTGCAATACTCTGCTGAACATTGGGGCTTCCTTTGAAGCCCTTTGGAGCTTCAGAGCAAGGAGCTGGAGCTAGGTGTCATGGGCTGACATCTAGCCCTGCACTACCCAAAGTGCCTACTACTGATTACCCAGGAGGTCAGTATGGAAAGTATTTAAAAACCTATATAGTAATTTAATAGTAACTTTATGTCTGTTAAATCCAATATAATAATTTAAAACATTTGGACTTGTATTTTGTATATTTGTTTTATTTCATTTTCTATTGTTTTTTAATGGTATTGTAAAAAGATAAACTGAGACACATTAAATTTTGAGAAGTTTATTTGAGCAAATGATTTGAATGGGCAGCACTAAAACTGAAAATGAGTCAGGGTACTCCACAGATGGGACCTGGGGCAAAGGTTTTAATAGCAAAGATAATGGGGAAAAAAGCAAAGCAAGTAATTGGCTGTAGCTTGAATATTTGCCTTATTTGGGGAAATTTAGTGATTTGGCTGTTATAATAATTGTTCTTGAGTTTGATTTTCTCGGGCTCAAGAAAATCTAGTTGAATGTTTATGATTAGTTGTTTTTGAGTTTTGTTTTCTTAGATTCAAGTGCATTGACTCTGGCTTAGGTTTTATTTGTTAAGCTATGCTACAGAAAGCATTAGAGCAGTGGTTCTCAACCTTGGCTACACATTAGAATCACCTGGGGATCTTTTTAAAATCCTGATTTCTGGGCCTCATCCTCCGGAAATTCTGTTTCTTTGTTATGGGGTGGGGCCACAACATTAGTAACAAAGAAACACAATTTCTGGAGGATGAGGCTCAGAAATCAGGATTATAAAAAGATTCCCAGGTGATTCTAATGTGCAGCCAAGGTTGGGAACCACTGCATTAGAACTGCCCCAGTCTAACAACCTCCTTGAACTATTTTAACGGGATTTTGTAAAATTGTGATGGATTCTTTATGCTGGATTGGAAATTTTAAAAGATTGGTCCTTCACCACAGTAGCTTCAGAAACAATGGGGTACATTCCATCTCTTTGGATTCTTTATCTTAAGCTATGCTGTAGTTAGTGCTACAGGTGATTTTTTTCTTCTTCCCTCTCCTCTTCCCCAAAATTCATCTTTTGAGATATGAGAAATGTCATTAGCTGTATAGGTATTGTTTTTTGAAAGCTATTCAAATAGATTTCCTTAAATGTAAGTTAAGATCTGCACAATGCTCTGGCTGGTGTTGCTCAATGGTTAGAGCATCAGCCTGTGCACTGGAGGTTGCAGGTTCTATTTCCAGTCAAGGGCATAAACCTGGGTTACAGGTTACATCCCCAGTCCCGATTGGGGTGAGTGAGGGAGGAAACTAGTAGATGTGTGTCTCTCACATCAGTGTTTCTCTCTCCCCCCCCTCCCTCCTTCCCTTCCTCTCTCTAAATATCCATGAGAAAAATATCTTCACTCCTTGGGTAAGGATTTAAAAAAAAAAAAAAAGACCTGCACCTTGATTTACCTTAACATATATATTTTGAGCACAATTTTTTTTTTAGATTGAGGGCTTCTAATTATATATATTTGGGGCATGCATGTATACTATATAATATCTTAGTAGTGTTGCTTTTAGAAAATTACTTTTTGACTTCTTTTTATTTTTCCTGTCAGTGGTGGAAAGTTATTACTCACCTATTTAGATTCAGCTATGTGAGAACTTCAGTCTAATTTTAGGCCAAACTAGATGCCCGGTGCACAAAATTCGTGCATGAGTGTGATCCTTAGGCCTGGCAAGTGATGGAAGCATGAGTGTCTGATGTGGAAGGGCAGGTCACAGCTGACCTCTGGGCCCTGGGCAGCCCCTAGGTCCCCGCATGCCCCCTCCACCTGAGTCATAGCTCCTGAGTCCCCATGTGGAGATGCAGTGAGTGCAGTCAGTGCCGCAGGCCGGGGTGCAGTGTGGGCCTCTGGGCTGCCCAGAGGTGCTGCACGGAAGCCAGGCAGGCAGTGTGCCCTCTCCCTGCCAGCCTCGCAGACTGGCTCCTGTGCGAACCACGAGGAGCCTCACTGACTCCTGTGGTCCCGGCAGCTGCAGCCTGGCTCACTCGGAAGAGGCCGCATGGGTGCGGGGCGAGCTCCTTGTGGGTGCCCAGCACCTGAGTGTGGGGGCTTCCTCGGTGTGCAAGCCCTAGCGTCCCTGGGGAGAGTAGCAAGGGGAGTTGAGAGCGAGCTCAGCAGACATCCCACATTCTCACTGCATCTCGGTCCCTGTCACCCCTGCCCCCAGGTAGCCAGTGAGAGGTTGCAGCCCCCCTGCCCGGGTGCCGTGGGTGGTTGGTTGCTGCAACCCACCCCCAGTTCCCCATCCCAGCCTGGGGCCCAGCTCCCTCCCACCCCCGCTCAGCTCCCTTAGCACCTGGGAGCTGGGTGGCGACCCCCTCCCTGCTGCTGCCATGGGGCGATTGATCAGGGCATCACCAACACCTGCCATGTTCCATGTCGCCCCCTGGTGGTCAGTGCATGTCCATAGTGTGTGGTCAAACTCCTGGTCGAGGGGACAATTTGCATATTACATTTTTATTATATAGGACTAGAGGCCTGGTG